TCTCATGGTGAAACTTAAATCAGAGACCAACTTTCTTCATCATTGTGAGGTCTCCAGAGGCCAAAAACACAATCCGTTCAAATGCATAAATACTGTATATATCGGTTACTGAGTTCTCAGATCCGAGAACCATCTCCCTTTCTTATCCGCTGTGCTATGAAACATACGCTTCTAAACCTCCCGTTTCCATAGCTAAAGCATAACACAAATTAGTTGTCTAATAAGTGTCAAATAATGCCAGTTAAGTCTAGTGTAAGGCATGGTGATCAGTAACTGTCTGAATAATGTTTTAAATTTGTGTTTTATCCTGAACAAAACAGAACTGTATAGTCATAATAACAAATCTTTTAATGTGTTTGTGGCCTTTCACCACCATTTGCTTTACAGGTTAGAAGACATACAAATCTACAAAATCTTTGGATTTGGAAAATAACATTTACTGGAAGCCCACCCCAGGACGCAGATGTTCTGTTCCCCTTGTCCAGTAAAAGTTCAATCAAGAAGGGTTCCAAATCTCAGCCCCTGGATATATTTCAACTGCAGCTGTGTGGTTAAGTGTCCAATTATTGTTTCGCAATAACAGTTTTATTAGCTTCAATTACAAGAAAACACTGATTGTTTTAGGGGTTTGGTTCGTTGGACTCATGTAAGAATATCTCTCCAGTCTACTCGTGAAGACGGATAAAACATACGCCCTTAGTAGATTTCCCATACTTATGGAACAGCTGAAACCAATTTTATCGTTAGTTCTGTCCGGTGCACTACAAATGTCGTGTTTTGTTTACGATTTGTATCTTGTTGTTTCAGTCAAAACCCCCGTTTAACAAAATAAAACGACATAATTATAAACAATAACTCATCCTCTAGCTATACAGTACAGGGTGGCTGAAAAGTAACTTACACCCCCCCCCCCCCTTAACTTTTCAACCATTTGAGATATTTGAAATCTGTTTGCGGCAACCTTCTTAGATATGAAGGGCTACAAAATTACTATGGTCGATTTTGAAAATTCTGCCCTTCAATGGAGGTAGGGGGTAGCTCAAAATTTTCAAATTACAAGTATATTCGAGTTTGGTATCATTTTACAGGTCTTGACGAAACATAACAGTTGACAAGAAGAAAGCCCAAATCGACCCACTAATAACGAAATAAAGCCCTAAAACGTTTCAAATCCAAATAACCACGAGGGTGGCTGAAAATTAACTTCCACCCCCTTTAACTTTTTAACTATTTGATATATTTGAAATCGGTTTGCAAAAACTTGTTTAATATATAAAGGGCTACAATAATAATTATGATCAGTTTTGAAAACTTAATTAGCGGGGGTAGGGGGTAGCTCAAAATTTTCAAACAGCAAGTATAGCGAGTTTGATATCATTTTACAGGTCTTGACAAAACATAACAATTAACCTTAATAAAATAGAAATCGGATAATTAATAACAAAATGGCAGTTCAAAATAATGTTTAATAACCATTGTCTTAATCATTTTTAGCTGCCATTTTGTTATTAATAGTCCGATTTCTATTTGCTTTATGTTAATTAATTGTTATGTTTCGTCAAGACCTGTAAAATTATACCAAACTTGACTATACTTGTTTTTTTTTTTTAATTTTAGCCACCCTCTGGAGCCTGGACCCCCGCTACCCCTAAATGGCAATTTTTTTGAAATTGACCATAATTATTGTAGCCCCTTATATCTAAGGAGGTTGCCGCAAAAAGATTTCAAATATCTCAAATGGTTTAAAAGTTAAGGGGGGTGTAAGCTACTAACTTTTCAGCCACCCTGTATAACCAAACAGTAAACTACAAATCATCAAATTAACTCTAAAATAATAGAAACAAAATTTCGTCGACACTAACCACCAGTGTCACCAGCTGCCATTTTGTTGTTAATAGTCCGATTTCTATTGCCTTTATGTTAATTGTTATGTTTCGTCAAGACCTGTAAAATGATACAAAACTCGACTATACTTGCTTTTTGAAAATTTTAGCCAACCCCTCCTACCCCCACTACCCCTAAATGGCAAAATTTTGGAAATTTACCATAATTATTGTAGCGCATTACATCTAAGAAGGTTGCCGCAAACAGATTTCAAATATCTCAAATGGTTGAAAAGTTAAGGGGGGTGTAAGTTACTTTTCAGCCACCCTGTATAACCAGACAGTAAAGCACAAATCATCAAATTAACTCTAAAATAATAGAAACAAAATTTCGTCGACACTAACCACCAGTGTCATCGGGCATGAACTTGACCCGAAAAACGAGCTTCAAAATTTACTCTGGAATGGGAAGTCTAATTACAACAGATAAAACACACACTAACTTGTGTTACAAGACTTCCCATCCCATTTTAAATTTCGAAGCTCGTTTTTCGTGTCTAGTCTTTTTTCGTTCTAGTCTTTTTTCGTTCTAGTGTCTAGTGGACTATTTCGTGTCTAGTCCATGTCCGGTGACACTGGAGGTTAGTGTCGACGAAATTTTGTTTCTATGAGGTTAGAAACGCTCCAGTCAACCAGCCACCACCACGCACGATAATGACAGGAAGCCACCCCAACAACCTGCCACCTCAGTTAGAAGTCGGTGCACGGTCCTGTCAAAGTGCCACCACGTCAACTCGTCCCATCAACTTCTTCTTTTTCAGGCCCGTTTTTGACTATGTCAGCGCCCTAGGCACAACTAAAATACCAGCGCCCCTTTGCAATATATATAACAGGGCGACTACCAACCGGGAAATCTGGGAATTAAGCGTGAATTTTTTTAACCCGGAATTATGCGTGAATTTTGTATTTCTACCTGGGATTGTCAATTTACCGCAATGGCGCATGACAACAGCGACGTTTCCGTGACCACGGGAAACGATAATATGTCTCCACAAGGCCGCGAGGGATGATCAGAACTTTGCCGCGATCGCATGAGAGACTATGATAATGTCTACACGACCGCGGGATATGATCATGATTTACCGCGATCGCGCAATATGATAATGAGATCTACAGAGCCGTGAAGGATGGTCAGAATATTGCCGCGATCGCATGACACGATGATAATGTCTAAACGACCGCGGGATATGATCATGATTTTACCGCAATCGCGCAAAACGATAATAAGATATACAGAGCCGCGATGGATGATCGGAATATTGCCGCGATCACATAAGACGAAGATAATGTCCACACAACCACGGGAAACCGTCAGAAATTTGCCACAATCGGGGAAGACGATAATGATCTCCACATGACTGCAGGATATTATTAACACTTTGCCGTAATCGCGGGAGACGATTACGATGTCTTCACGACAGCGGGAGACGATTACGATGTCTACAGGATCGTGGGAGTTACAATAATGATGGCTACTCTACACGGCTGCGAGGGATGATCAGAATTTTACCGCGATCACGTAAGACGATGTTAATGTCCACTCCACCACAGGAAAGATCAGAATTTGGCCTCATTCGCAAAAGACGACGAAGACCACCAAACGACCGCGGGAGATGAGTACCATTTGCCACAATGGTGGGAGGGGATCACAATGCCTCACGACCGCGGGAGGCGATGATGTCTTCATGGCTGTGAGGGATTATCAGAATTTTATCGTGATCACGCAAGAAGATGATAATGTCCACACAACCCCGGGAAAAGATTAGAATTTTGCTTCATTCGCGGTAGACGGTGATAATCTCCTCACGACCGCGGGATGTGTTCATATATTGCCGCGATCAAGGAAGACGACAATTATGCTGTCCACACGTCCGCCGAAAATAGTCAGAATTTTGCCGTGATCGCGGGAGACGGACGATGATGACGTATACACAACCACAGAAAAAATTAACATCTAGCCACAATTGCGGGAGACTGTTAAGATGTCTACACGGCCGCGAGGGATTATCAGTTTACCGCGATCGCGTGCAAATACAGCCACAATTTTTGTTATTTTCCAATTTTTTGGCGCCCCCTAAAAATGACAATTGCCTCGCGCCCTAGGCACGTGCCTACCGTGCCTATTCGGTAAATCGGCCCTTTTTGGAGGCACATTGTCTCGTTGGGTTGGTACATTTGCGTGTCCCTGTCATTACTGTAATGACCTCACCCAGTGACGGATTTACCTAGTGGGGGCTGTAGACCCCCCTTGGCTGTCCAATTTACACTAGATAAAATGGGTAATCTTCACTGAGAAGAATAAAAACTTATCTCAGGTCAACCATGACCGAAGACCGATTGAACAGAATTGCACTGGCTGATATTTATAAGAAAAGGGAAATCGATGTAGATTCCGTACTTGAAACAAAAGGTTATCTTCAAAATTCTTTTATTTTTTAGTCAATATTCTTGAGTCAAACCATAGCTTTTTTCCACTAAACTGTGGTTAATAAACAGTTAAAAACTACCTAAAAATGTGTCATTTTACACTTACATTTTGAATATTTTCTGGGGGAGGACCCCCAGGCCCCTATAGTGTTTTCACCCCCCCCCCCCCAAACGCCTAGCCACCCCCCTTTTGGCCTATCCTGGATCCGCCACTGCCTCATCTCAGTTGTTCAGTTCCCAGGTTGGATTCCACAGAAGGGTGCTATCCCTGTGTGTTTAGGCCTAAGGACCAAATTAACTGTAGATTTTTCAATTCTTCTTATTTTTTATGGATCATTAATTTCGTTTGTTTTCGAAAGGGACTTTTTAGCTTATCGATTGTTGAATAGTGAAAGAATTAAATTGAAATATTTAACAGTGTAGAAGAAAGCTCTCAATTAGGGAAAATTAAGACATATAAGTAGATCATTATCATTGTAGATTACAGCATAGATAAAACATACTATTACAGTTATTTTCAAAAAGGGTTTTTGTCATAACATTATATACATTTATAAAAATTACTTAGAGGTCTCTGATGTTATCCCTTTGCCTCTCCGTTGTCGAAAGTTTTACTTCTCTCTCCACTTTAGTTGCTCCTGATTTTGAGTAGTTCTTGTTCTTGCTTTCTTCTACGCTCGTTCTGTTCTGTGAGTTCTGTCGTTCTGTCTGTGTTTTGTGCGCTTCGGCTTCCGAATAGCTAACGTCAAACATAAACTTGTAAACGGATTCTGTCGGTGACGTTGTGTATTTAGTGCTTTTATTTTATTGCAATTCAAAATGTCAGAGGATCACCATCAAAACGGCAACGAGGAAAACGGTGATGTTCCCGAAATTGAACTTATTATTAAGGTGAGTTGTATTTTAATAAGCAATAAAAGTAAACTGGAGGCGTTACAGCCAAGTTTTGCGAATGAACACTTATCATGTGATAGTCAGTTACCTTTACTAGCAATAATGGTATCAATAGCTGCATTTACTAGCAGCCTAGTCTACTTATAAAGATGTACAATCGTATCGTTAGACGGTGTTAATAATAATTTTTTAAGCTTTATTAGACATGATGTAGCCTAGGTTTAATGGCTATGGAGAATCGAAGTTGTTCATCACTTGTAGGCTTTATGGTAGTGACGTTCAATAATACGTTCCATGTAGACACTTCCATAAATTAGGTAGGCCCTACCATCATAGATTTCAGGTACACTCAAAGCTACCATGATAGCCATAAGTTACTCAGATATGATGATTGGCCTACATCTCATCTCATCTGCTCTTCTTAGTTGGAAAAGAACACATCCTGCCTATCATATCGATTCCAGCCTGAAATAACTTCTAGGATATACCAGAATTGAGTGCAGAAAGCTTGAAAAATAAATTCTACGCCCCAAAACGTTTTTGATCTTGTTCCTTCCATCATCATATTGGGTTACGGTATCATTAACATATAATGGCTTTAATATTTATATAATTTACAGCCTGATGGTGCTTCCCTTGATAGCCGATTACTTAGTTGTGACCAGTTAACTTTCAAATATTCAATTGCTTATAAGGTAGGCTAATGCCTAAAGATTACCTCCTCCTATCTATGATAACTCAACCTCCTTAAGTGGAAGATTTTCTTGGTTCAGTTGTAGGCCTATTTGTTTCACAATACAATAGCTGGTGTCCACGCCAGTTTCCTCTTATCTGGAATAACTTACATTTCTACCAAAATACTACCCCCCTCTCTACAACAAGATATAGCATAGGCTTAAGTTATAGAGAGGTAAGGTCCATGGTAACTTATAGAGCCACTGTAAAGAAAGTTCTCGTAACCCCCGATAAGATGTTACGAGCCATTCTCATCCTTCTCTAGATGTTTCGTCATGTTGTCCGTTGTACAGTAATTCCTTCCACCCACGCCATGGTACCAACGCGTGATTATGTGGGCAGTGGCAGCGATAAGAGCCCGCGGGCCTCCCCGCAAGTTTGTTTGCCGGGCCCCCCTCTCCCAATAATCTTTAAAAACATGTTTACATGTATTACCGCCTTAACTTGCATTTTTGCAATAAACTTGACAAGGCATCTCCTGAGGCGTCATCTTCGTCTTCCATGATCGCGTCAAAATCGTGAATACTTCCCGTAGTCATGGGAGAAACATTATCATAGTCTACCGTGATTGCAAATGTAACCAAACCTATGACATCACCATATAGCAATATCATCGTCTCCCGCGTTAACGGCCCAATCTAATATCACGGCCTAATATCTCCCGCGACCCGTCAATGATGGAAATAATTTTTTCCGCAATCCCGGCAGAATCCTAGGTAGGTATATCTCTCGCTGAAAATGAAACGTCATTATCGTCTTCTGCAATCGCGGTAAAATATTGAACATCTCCTGCGGTCGCGGAGACATTGTCATCGTCACCTGCGGGGAAATGTTCTCGTCGATATCCGCGATCGCGGCAAAAGCGTTGGCCTAATCTTTCAATTTCGTGAGCGTGAGTGATCCTTGCGGACATAAAAGCTTTTACTTTTAATTGAGCATTATTGTATTGAGTACCTAGGCCTACTGAAAAAATCGGTTCGAGCTTGATTTTCTGACTTTGTGCTTGATCTCCCAAGCTTGTAGGTCAGGCTCTGCTCGGCTGGAAAATCGACATTATATTATAACAAATCAACCATTTCAAAGCAAACTGATTTTGAACCGATTTGATTTGGCCTAAGGCTTATAGGTAAGTAACATTTTTTTACCTGACTCGAAGTAAACAAATCTAAAGTGCGAAGTAAACAAATCTAAAGGGCAGCCTCCTAATAGTAAGAAATTAAATTAAATGAAAATCCTTCTTTAGTATCAATGGAAGAATATAATTATTTATTAGCTAGTGCCCTAGCCACCTAGGTTAATTTGCCGATTTGATCGTTAAAAAAATTTTCAAGTTCATTTGGTTGATTCAGCATCAGAGGGCCCTCTCTGGTGTGACCCGCCGGGGGCTAGGACATAGACATAGACTAAGCAACACAAGGACGACAGTTGATACATCCTGCACGACTGTTGACAATTCTTTTACTTAGGTTGGTAGAGAGTTTATATCGATCGGTCAAGTAATAGTAACAGTTTAGCTGTTGTAAGCTACTTGTCCTAGTGCTCTTGGTGGTTTGAATAAAAATTCGTCATAAAAAACAGGGGACCCGTGTGGCTGAGCCTGTCGCACAATCGCGGGCCCGTGTCCCGGTAAAATTTACCGAAAAATCCTGGTCAAGGCTCATGCGTGGGCCCCCCTAGCTCGCGGGCCCGCCGCACCGAGTGCCAATTAAACTGATGTCAGGGTAAAAAAGGTCCGGATAAGATGGAGTCTACTACTAGGCCTAGGTTTGCCGCATTAGGGAAGATAATGAATCTAAATATATATAAGGCAAAACCCTCATTAATTAATTAATTAAATTGCGTTTCTGTTTTTTGTAGGCTGTAGTGAATTTTGGTTGCTTAGTAGGCTATAGCATAGGCCTACAATTAATTAACTAGCCAGAGTCGACAAAAATATGTCCATTGACAAGCAAACTACGACCATTACTTTACTGTTTCTTATCCTTTGAATGAAAATTTTAAATGTGAATTTTCTTGTTCGAATATTCTTTAAAGGACTAAAGCTACAAAAAAAACGATGAGTATACAAAATTATTTGAACATAATATTGAACATAATGTTTTTGAGAGGGGTGTGACTAATTAAGTTATCCCATAACACCCCGTTACCATTGTTCGTGCTGTTTTGCAAACACATTTAAGAATAAAAGTACGGTATGTTCATACCATATTTAATTAAAATCTGATTATTGTAAATTACAGACTGATATAAATCTGAAGGAATATTTGTTTTTTGGTCTCTTAATTGATCAAACAGAAAAAGTAAATTCGTCCTGGGACTAAAATTATGTCTTCCTGCACCACCTACAATCAGCTCTACCCTACAGGGGAAATTTGCTAAAAGTTACTACCAAAAACTCTATTGTATTGGACATCCTCATGATAAAATGTGTTGATAAGTCATTAAGAAAATCAAGCAGCCTGGGCCAAGGTCATTTTGGCCTCATGATATCACCAGACTCCTTATCAGGCTACAGTTAGATTAAAGTCTCATTCATTCATTGACCCTCCCAAGAGGAATTACCCTTATTTGTTTTTGATAATACCTACAAAATAATAGTGGAGGAAATATTTACTGAATTAAATGCATGTTATTAAGTCAAATTTTATTTAGTTCTTCAGAATGAAAACCCCATTAAAAATTTGAGATCATCAATGTGTAAAAAATTTTAAAGCTCGAATAGGATAGAAAAAAATACAGTGTTAGCAAAACAGGATTGCCGATGGATACCTGTGGGGGTGCGTGCGTGTGAAGGGACTTGACCTGGTCTCCATCGGCACTCCCGATTTGCTATTACTATAAACCCTTTCAAATTTGTATTAAAACTAACTTTTCTGGCTTAGGATAGATTTGGTTAAGTTGGAAGTGAAGTAACATACGGTAAGGTAACATTAGAATTAAGTCCTTGACCGTTCAGTAAGTAGCCTACTTACTGAAAAACTAATAAGGTTAGGTAATCATTGTATGCTGTTATGCTCACTTATAATCAACTTTAATCACATTTAAAAATTTGTTTGAGGTCATCCTTGAAGCTCAGTGTTAGAGATATCCTTAGCTTTTCGATAGGCTAGGTAGTAAAACTAAATCTAGCTATCGCTGTTCATTGGACTTTGATGGCTACGTGTCCAGTCCATCTAAGCACAGACTATAGAATAGTCTGTGATCTAAGTCTCCTGCTTCTTATCTCTACCAGACTGTACGCTTTTCTCGAACTATCTTAATTCCGGGTTATGCCTTATCCTCCATTCACCATCGTCTTGTGTTGATCCAAAAGTTTTCCTAATTTAGTAAATATAAATTCAGAACTCTGATGACTTTTTAGGCTCTGACCGTACTTGTGTTTTCTTCACTAAGCACCATCGATTGGACCCAGGACAGTTTATGGATGCCACTCGATATAATAACTGCTATTGCAGATAACAGAGAAATGATTATAGCACTCCCAACATCTGAGGAAAGCAGGTTCTGCCAGTTGTTCACCATGAAATGTTTTGACCCCAGATCAGAACCTGATGTTGAGTTGTTACATTGCTTACCACATGTTTAAAAGTCTGCTTTATCTGACAGCCTCGAGGCTTTGCAAAGGTTCTGTATCTGCAACACCTTATTTATTGATACTATTTTATTTTTATTAAAGTCTTATGGCTGTAGTTTTTATTATTTTTTATTAGATATTTATTAGATGCAAAGGGTCTACGGACTAAAGAAATACTTCAACACCTAATTGATCGATTCCATTTGTCAAAAAAAATTAGGGAAGCCTTATATTTTTAATTTTTTTTTAAATAGAGTCACCATGTACTAGTTTCCCTTAAATTTTACATTGCAACCAGCAAACAATGTATCAGATTTTGACCCAGGGTGGGACAAATCAGTACCTAGCTTTTTTCTGTAGATGGGCTAGATCATTCTTAGTGCATTTAAATATATTGTACTAATTTAATGCTCATTTTAAAATATTCGTGTTCCATGGCTTTATTTTTCTTAAACTTTTACCAATGTCCCAAAACATAATCATTCCGCGATTTCTTCAATATTTCAGTTTTAAAATCGATCCATTATGTTGTTGGTGATCAAAGTTTATTAGTGTGTACTAGGCAGTGCAGATTATGTGATTTTACATTATCTTGATGAATAAGAAAATCATGCTTATCATTACTATCTGTAAATAAATAGGCCATCAACTAGTTTCCCTTTTTAAATAGGCCTCAACCATTAGTCTC